AATGGGGGGGGGGGTTACTTTTTTAAGTGTGAGTTTATTTAGTTATGAAGAATATATTATGCAGAAAATGTGCTGTAGTTTTGTTGAAAAAAATATCACCAAAAAGTGTTGTAAATAGCACAATGCATTGTAAGTTTTGATGATCAACACATAGAAATAAAAACACTCTCAAAAAAGCTCACACTGAAGCAGAACAAAGTATTTGATCAATCTGTTCTGTAACTATATCCTCACATTCACATAAGTAGTGAGGAACGGTTCTTAAAGGTCAAATGTGTGAGCATACACTGTTAATCACGACAGAGTAGACTGACCTGCCTTGTCAGTATGATCACTGCACACAGGCAGGAGCGCCATAATTTAGGAATAGCAATAATGTCTTTAAGGACCTATGAATCACTCAGTAAAATCATTTGGGTAGCAACAAACAGAGTGTTTTCCATTTAGCAAACTTTCAACTTGCAGACCTACTAATGGGCCAGCGAGGATCTGTTCGCAAGTTTGCTCCTTTAAAATTACAGTATGTGTTAAGGATATGGAACTTATCACACAATAAGGTGTGCATCAAGAAGGTCAGAGGTCCAAGCCCCGGTTGTTTTGGGCTGCTTTTATTGCTTGTAAGCTAGAAAGGAGCTAATGAGGAAAATAAACTGGTGCTGATGTGTCTGCCTGTGCTTCAGTGTGCTTCCCACAGCTGGCGCCCAGTGGAGTCCATTGACACCTCCAGAGCAATAGTTTCCACTTGCATGGGCTGCCCAATGATTTTTTAACCTAACAGAATAGTCCAATAAATTGGAACTTGTGTGTATTGTAATGTATATCTCCAGAGTTACCCCTCGTCATCTGTGTCCTTCACTGGTAACTCTTAATAATTATGGAATGTGTGGATATAACACAACATGAGAAAAGCCTAGGATGAAAATGGGAAATAAACATTTTGTGACCAGAGTCACGATATATGGCTCTTACATCAAACATCTTACTAGGTACATTTAATTATTAGTCTTTTTTTCAGAGTCTCAATAATAAATTAATTGTTAATTTATAATAGACATTAAGGTGTACTTCAAATAATATTTTTTTATGTCAAAGGACATTTACTTCTTCGCGCCCGTCTTGATTATTCCTTCAATTCTGAAACTTGAATTCCAAGTTTGTGTCGTGTCACAAAAGTTAAACACATTTCAGAGTTTCCCATTCAGGGGATTTCATAGATATGTACAGATACTGTATTGGGAAACAGAGACACAAGCATGAGCCTTGGTTTTGATTCCAGCCTGGGGCACTTTCTGTGTGGAGTTTACATCCCTGTGTTTATGTGGGTTTTCTCAGTGTCTCGGTTACCAACAACCTCCCAGAGAAATCCTGGTTGGGATCAACAGTGTCTCTAAATTGTCTGTGTTTTACTGACACCCTGTCATGGGATGCCTTTTGCCGTGTGCTTTCTGGGTTGCCACAGCCCTTACCAGGAATAAACTGTTTTCTGAGAATTGAAGAACACATGCAATACAGTAATTGGATCTTTTAAGAGCAGTTAGAGGGTCGGAATTCCTAGGGCTTTTCATAAAATATAATTTAGCCCCATTTAGAACTAATAAAAAATCAAGATCAAGCCTTGTAGTATTTTATTTTAATTTGGAATGCCTTCCAAGTTTAAAAGTATCCTTTTGAGGATGTAAAGCTGGAATTCAGACAGCTTATTACTAGGTATGCCAAAACACCAAAAATGTTTTTCCTCTCGCAAAATGTTTGATGCAGGTTGTTTTTTTTTTTTGTAAAATGTGTGTTACACATCGGCCCTTTTGGTCTGCCACTGAAGAAAATAATACTGAGGTTCTGTGGGGAATTTCGCAACCCTTGAAAGATAGGTTCGGAATGGAATAGGCGTTCTGTGTAATCACAGGGGGCTGAGACGTGCACTGTGGAGTGAAGGTGTAGAAACGCTGTTAAACCTTGAATACTCAGATTGGAATGGCAGGATGCAGGGCATGGAGTTGGTTGTGAGCTCTGGGGTTTTGGTCAGTCTAAAAGGCCTGGGTTGTGTCAGGGCCTTTTTATATTGATAAATGAGCAGTAATTGCATTCCCACTGAAGAAATAAAGGCAGCAGCTGGCAGTGGGGTACCCATAAAAACCCTGTGATGACAGATTTACTAAACTATTCTGGGCATGTTTTTCTTCTTTCGTTAGTTTGAGCATAGTGGATTATTGGCTAAAAATGCCAAGTACAGTTTCCTCCGAACTACTGTTAAGCTGCTTCCATAAAGAAAAAAAAACTTTACTTATTTTACGTAGTATTTTCTTTTCTCCAAGACTGTGGTGTCTTTCATCCATTCTTAATAGTAATACACCCTTTTTGTGTTTTAAAAAGATTTAAAAGATTTGATTAATATTTAATATTCTTCCCTATATTGAGCTGGAATTATACTTTTTGGACCTGAACATTTGAGAATTGTGACTTTCAGATTTTGTTAATAATTAATGATAGGACTAGCATAATAATCCAAATTCTATTACTCTCTTCCCATTAAATTAATATATTATAATTTTGTAATTAATGGCAACAGAGTAATATATTGCTGTTGTGTGGTCATTCGATAACAGTATTGTTCATGTCTTTCTTAGTTTATACTCTTTACATTTGTAATTGATAGTTTTAATTGCATCAATCAATATGGAGGGTCATTCTGCTGTTTAATAATCAAAGCTACTTAAATTGCATAGTCTAACACTTTCTTCTTTTCAATTTTATTGTACATTTCTAATTGTGCTGTACAGGTTTTCCTTATTCCTTATGTATGTAGGTATGAATACTGAGTCATGGTTACAGATATTAATGTGCACAGCAGAACTTTGCTTTCACTTTGTTTTGTCTTTAGCTCCAGAGACTATGTCCGTGACATTTTAGTATATCTCTTCTGCTAGTGCTATCACTTATTCTGGGTGAGTGCCAACACTGTAGCATGAATTTATTGCTTGGCTAAGAGTGTGGATTAACTAGTTATTCCCGCTACATTTTATGATAAGACAGCATGGGGAAAAATAAAACATTTAATTAATATGTTCACAAAAATACTGGAGTATATTCTCTTAGGAACAAGTAACAGGTTTAATCCATGCTGAAAAGAGAAGAGAGAAAACACAACATTTCGGCTGTGAAGCCTTCTTCAGGTGTGAGAAAGACAGGGCAGACAGCAAAGATTAAATAGCGCAGGGGAACAAAAGCTGGGAGAGGGTAGGAGGCGGGAGCAGGGGAGAGGCAGAGAGGCCACTCAGGAAGTGCAAAGTGGAGAGAGGTGAAGAAAGGTGTGAAGTCAAAACCTGCATGAGAATAGAGATTACACAAAACTAAATCGGTCATTGAGAGAAGGGGGATGATGTGAACCTAGTTTCAAGATGAGTTACCCACCTGAGCATATGCAGTTACCCACCTGAACATATTCTCTTAGGTTGCTTAACATAAAACAATTTGAAGAACAAAAGAAAGGTTACAAAGGAGAGGGGGGAGCCCATGGGTCCAGCTAACCCATTTGATAAATCAAATTGCATGGTGTTACACAGTTGTTTCAGGATTGTCATTTGTTTTAAGTTCTCAGCGTTACTGTTCACCATTACAATGAGCTCTAACATGTTTTCCTGTCGCCAGCATTACTTTCCAACTCTGCTGTAACTTGTTTAAGCCATTTTTACATGTTAAGAACATTAGAAACACAAGACATATCCCTCAGATGTTTGCTTTGAATGGCTTGAATTGAGACCTAGTCTCTGTGAAGGAGGTCTGAAATTATTTAGATAGGGAGACTGGAATATTTTTTTTACTGCTATAAATGTATGCTGGTTGTGTTGTATGTTGTATGTGGAACCCGAAAAGGGGCACTCACAGTTTTTTAGAAATCTTTCATACACATGATCACTCAATTTGCAAGCTGATGATATTTCAAGTGGTGCTAAAGGAGTGAAAATGGTGGTAAATTGTTATTTGATTATACAGTATATCAAGGTATGTTGCTGGAAACCCACTGCAACACTATCTGTATTACAGATATTGCTGCTCCTCCAGGATGTCATAAAGCTGACTTTCAGAAGAAGGACAGGGCTTGCTGAACTGGGTTTACTACAGTGCGTTGCCTGTTTTATGTCAAGTTGACCTTTATGGAACAAATCAACAAACAAAACAACACTTTAAACAGGTTTTTTAGGGTCTCTGAAGAATAATCCTACAGTTCTCCTCCAGATGTGTGAGTTATTTGTTGTCAGTCTTCAAGCAACATTGAGAACAGTTGCTGGGCATGAACTGGAATGCAGCAATACAGAAAAGATTATGAGTATTTTTAATGGGAGCGATGGTGACATAACTTTCAATAACATTGATTTCGAATAATAAAGGAAGTGCCAATAACTCAGGCTTCTAAACATGTATCTAACATTAGTGAGTATCTGGGTAAGCTGTAGTTAATTCACGCTATGTTTTCAAAAGTATTAAAATGCAACATAGAAGTAAAAAAAAGTGTTTTTTGGTCATTTGTTTTTATGATAATATCATGAATGCAACGTGAATAAACTGCTCATGGTCTACTAGGAAAATTATAGTTATAAATTGCACAGACTGCTGTGGCATTACATGCATTCTTATAATAAACCCTTGTTAGTCCTTGAAAACAGTAGGCAGAATGCAGAAATTCATATTAATGTATTAAAATGCAATAATTATTTTTCTGCTGATGTTAAGTAACTTGTCTGAGGAACTTTAATTAATATATTGAGTATATTAATTGTATAGATATGATAATATATACTGTAATAAGTATATAATATATAATATAATAATTTATATTGAATACCTTATTAATTCTGGTTTTGTTGTACATAAAAACACTGTTCTGATACAATTCTAAACTGTATGTATCAGAAATTATCAAGCATAGTTAAGGAATTTAGTTTGAAAGGCTAAAGAAACTTCATACATTGTGTCATCATGCCTTTTTTTCCATGCTCTGCCAGATACAGACACAATGGTGATAAAGGATGTCTTCGGGCTGAATGGGCAGATTGAGCACAAACTGGCCTTTCTGAAGCAACATGTTCCCAGGGATGTGAAGCTGGTGTTGATTGGCCATTCCATCGGCTGCTACATCATTCTGGAAATGATGAAGAGGGATCCTGGACTTCGGGTAGGGAGGTCTTATTCCTGTGCGTCTTTTTGTTTCAGTATTTCAGTAGCCTTACATCTTCGGAAATCTTTGTTCTAGGAAAACGACGGGCTGGTTTCTTTAACTGGTTATCTAGTAGTTTTTTTAAGTCATTGACACTTCTCAATTGATACTTCTCAGCAGGAACAGTTTTCCTACTGTATGTTAGGGAGAAAAGAAAAAAAAATGATATTCTGTTGTCTTTCTTTATTATAAACTATTACCTATAAAATTAAGTATTTTTATTGTCTGTAAGTCGCAGACTGAGTGAGCTTGTGTTTTGTACACCTGGTCTAATAAACACTGTCTTTAAAGAGCCTGGCTCGCAACCTAAAGGCGTTCTCCTTCCAGTTCCTGTGAACCAAAGCACCGCGTAAGGTCTGGCGTAGTGCATCACTCAGTGAATTGTAAATCCTTGCTCCAGCCACATTGCTTTGCTGAAGATTGCATGCTGCCAAGAAACAAACATAAATGATTATGTTCTATAACATATGATGTGCGATAATAAGAAACTCCTGTTCCCCTCAGTCTAGATATTTATTTTGGACTAATGGATTCCCTCATGGTTTTGGGCACAGAGGTATGGATCGGTGGCTGGATTTGACAGCACTTATGGACGGAAAGACCCAGAGTTCACTGTATTTTCAGGGGGCTGCCCAGGGGTTGGTTATCATACTTAAAGGCCCTGGCATCCTGCCTGGCATTTAAATGAGATTCTGGAACTCTGTCTGGGCTGTTCTCTCTGTTTTTTCTGGGCACACAATTCAAGGCTGTGAGCCGATTCAGATCTTGTATACTTTCTGGGTTAATTAGCCTCATGCGTACTGCAGAAAAGTAGTCAAACAATGTGGTTGACTAATAAGCTGAAACTAACTGAGGTCATCACCAGTGTGTAGACAGAAACTGATATTGGTCTGTCTCAGTTACCAGCCTCAGAAAGGTGAACGGCAGTGTATTCACCTCACTGAGATATCTGTGTTTGATTAAGTTTGTTTTTTAATCTTCTTGTTATTACTTTTGTCACACTGATATGTGAAACAAATGGATATCCTCTATTTCTACAAGGAAAAAAAGAAATCCCAGGTAAAGCATTATCATAGTGAAAGTTTCTGAAAGAAAGAGTCACTTTCAAGCCAAACAATACATTGATATGAAGCATACATTTTCTTTGTTAAAATATATGTAGTTGAGGAAATCAGATATAATAATAAAATAACATTAGTAGTGTCATGTTCATACATAAAAAAGAATATCCAGCAGCACAACATGTATTAAACATAGAGGCTCTCCAGTTTCACCATGTGGATTGTTGCAGTAATAAAATTAACGTCTTTCATTACTTAAAATGTCTTTTAATACTGTAATTGAAAGGGTGGTTTCCTGGAATGCCACAGTTGAGAGTTAAAATGTGCCAAGTCTGTCTTTTATCCAGTGTAAGTTTCACACCATGTACTGTAATCATAGCTAAGCAGGCGTAATGTACCATAACAGATGAGTGATAAAAACTTAATCCTCCAGTGATAATGTGTCAAACATCCAGTGCCTCTTCGTGCTACTGTGGGATCTCAGTAATGCACTCCTAACCGTTTGACTGACACAGCGCTGTGGAGAGAGTTCAGTTTCAGCAATCCGTGAGAACTGGGAAGGACAAGAATAAAGGACACTCTGAAATGTCTAAAGTGAAGCCTGTAATTGCTGATAGCCCAAGGGTCAGCAGAAGTATGCTTAAGGAATGCGAGTCTGATCCGAAGGAGAAAGGATTTATGAAAACAATGGATGCCACTGGTTCACAGCCCTTGCTAAAGGATTGGCTGTGTAATCACCTACACTCTTAGGCAGATTGGTGTTCTTGCTTTGTTGGTGGTATAATGATTAAAGGGGCAATGCAGAAGCACTTAGTATTCACTTAAAATACTCTGCTGTCTTTTTACACACACCTTGCAAGGAGGTGAAAGGGCAAGATCAAAGATCAAGCAAAGGACATAAAATTAGAGACTAATTAAAACAAGGCCATTTTAATTGCATTTTTTCTCTTGATGAAACTTCTCTTGGTAACAAATATTTTCTGTATAAGAATGTATCATTTGATACTTACAGTATGTTCTTACTGTTCTTTTGTAGTAACCTTTGTAAAGTGAATATTAATGCAATTTTCTTAGACAAACCAGAGATATCTCTTTTTAAAGTATGTACCGTGAGATTGAGATGTCCTCCAGATGTCAGCTGCAGCTGCACAGACACCTGATTGTCTTGCAGGTGCTCATCTAGTCACAAGTCCCTGGTATACTGCTTACTGAAGGATCTATAAATTGTTTTGCTTACACTGGTCCCAGGGATATCCAGGCTTGTTCACTGCTGCTACTGTCAATCCCAGCCATATCTGGCCAGCAATGCAGTTATTTTGGGCAGGAGTGAAGAGCAGCAGTCAGGCTTCTGAATTCATTACTGGAAGCCTGGGGGTTCAGTTCCAAGGCGATGCTAGTGCTGTTGTACCTCAGCACACGGTACAGTACTTCACTCAGATTGCCTCAGCTATGTACATGAGTACAAACATATATTACTTTTCATAATTGCATCAACCAAATAAATTGTAAAAAAGGAAAACTAGAAGACTTACACCCATTTTGAAGGTTTTCAAAAATCCTGTAGTGCACCCCGAGCTGATGGCCAGTCATTAAAACTGTCACTGCAATATGGGAAGTGCTAGTGGGAAGCAGGTTTTAGAATAATGAAAGTTTCAAGCCAGTCACTGCAGTATTACTAAGACAGTGGTAGTTTTAAGTTCTGGAGCTTTCCAAACTTCCCTCCATCTTCACCCAGTACAGGATCATGTGGAAGCTAGAGCCTATTCCGGCAAGCACCAGGCAAGAGGTGGAATAAATCCTGGAATGGACACAAGTCCCCCGCTGGGCAGACAGATACAAACGCAGACACACACGCGCGCGCACACACACACACACACACACACACACACACACACACACACCAGGGCCAGATTTTTACAGAAGCCTGTGAACTGTCCCGCTAAAACTATTTTTTTTTTATCAGAGGAGATGTTTTTTTTGTTGTAAAAACACATTTTTTGTAAACCAAGAACATGACAGGATTTTTTTCTGGAAAAAGAAGGGGCATTTCTTCTATGAAACAGAAATATATATATAAGAGATTGTTCGGGGGAAAAAAAAACAGTTGTTCCAATACAATAGGTTAACATTATTTTGCATCGAATAATACATACATAAGTTAATCGGCCATGCATTTTCTGAAGATGAATCAAATGTGATGGCTCTGTATAAGCGTATAAAGTATTGCTGCAATCTATTAGACACAATTCTGAAGCAAGTCAGAGTTTAATGAAACCTAATAAGTGGTTTCAAGTCAATAAGGACAGCGGTTTACAAGACAATAGCAGTTAGAACATTCTGAACAATATAGACGTTGTTTTTTAATATTGTGGACATTTCTGAATAAAAAGGTAGCAATTGTGGTTTATGCAGAAATCCCACTTCACCACATTAACCATATTCCCACTAGAATGATTACTACCCAATTTGGAATTTGTTAGCCCAACAGTCCTTGAACAGGAGCATAATGCATATGAAGCTGCATTTCTCCAGGCAGTTGGTGATGACTCACTGTTGGCTGGGTATTGATCACATCAACTTATTTTGAGCTTGGTTGTTCGTTGTGATTCACTGTTTAAATTGTGAGATTAAAATGTTGTCTTTGTGGCATTCTTGGGAATGGTAGTGTGTCAGATATTAATGATATCCTCACTAGAAAGATCCAATGCTTGGTGTTAATTGGCCAAATACATTTTATATCAAAGAAGTGCTACAATCTGCTTGTCACCAATAAACAGACAGAAATAGTCATTAGACATTTGTATTTATTTATGCAAGAATCCTGTTTCTGAATGTATGAATGCTCTTGGTAGTTGTACAGTTGGTACCATATTTGTAGTGTTAATTAACCAAGTAAATATCTGAGAAGGAGCACTTTGTGTGATTGGATATGCTTCTAAAAGCCGTTGATTGTTGGTGATGAAACTTGCCAGGTTTCTCTTTATCTGGTGCAGTGGTTCAGAAGAATTTTTCAAAATGTTCCTTACAATTACTGTAGGCTTCCACTGCATAGTAGTCCAGTTATAATAATTACTTTTTAAAATCTGTTCACATTTATGAGTTAAGTAGAACAGTGTTCTTAACTTTTCTCCTAACGGGACTGCAGCAATTATGCAATATCAGACAGTGATATTTGTAATGTAAAAACCCACAGAAATGGACATTGTGGGATTTTTTCCTTCTGCACTGTAAGGAACTTTGAATGAGTGTTTTTTTAAATTATTACAGATACCCCATTATATTATTTGTCATTCACTTTACTGTAAATGTGAAAACTACAGAAAGGAGGATTTGTTCACTAAATTCTCTTGATTTAATATGTGGATTTGATGTGTGCAATTATATGCTATGCAATAAAGGTATATAGATGAAGTATTATTATTGTAGAGCAACAGAGCTGGTTTTGTGGTACCTTTGCCCTGCGGTCAGTGCGACCTTTACAAAATACACGTTTATGGTTGTCATAATTGGTAGATGAGTGTTTTCATTCGTTGTAAAAACATCATCGTCTTTTCCCAAATTACTTATCCCACATTACTCATCATGCCAGACCATGCTTGGTAAGATGGAATTCCTTGGGCCACAGTCACAAAAAATAAACTTTTGAGAGATTTATTTTTGTATTTTTTTTAAAGAACCATTAACGGGAGTATTTCTGAAGTGATTTTTTTTCTGTATGTCATAAAAAAAATAAAAATTACGTCATTAAAATGCACAGCAACAGTTCAGAAAAACTGATGATAGCCAACATGTTACTCTCCAGCACAATATGAAAGAGACTTGCCAAGAGAACACTATTAAAAAAGATACAATATTATCTTCCCTCTTATTTCAGTTTTCATCAAGTTGTTGGGTCAT